TGGGAAAATGGTCTGAGCCATGAATAGATATGTTTAAGGAACAAAGAGAAAGCCAGTGCAGCTGAAGTAGTGTGAACGAATGGGACTGTGGCAAGTGACGTTCAACAATCTTTTCACATAGTATAAAGGCAGAAATCAAAATCCTAGAGCAGGAGTTGGCAAACTATGACCTGTAGGCCAAATCCATCCTGTCTCCTAGTTTCATAAAGTTTTATTGGAACACAGCCGTGCCTATTCATTTACATCTTGTCTATGGCTGCTTTTGTGCTATAAGCAGTAGTTACCACAGAGACCACATGACCTGCAAAGCCTTAAGTATTTACTATCTGGCTATTTGCAGAACAAGTTTGCTGGCCCCTGTCCTAGACTATGGACTAAATTAGAACTGACAGTATGAAAGTTGAAAAGGTTAGGCTTTTTTAAAGCATAGAACTAGCCTTTAAAACTGGCCAGTGATTGATTCAAATGAGAAAGATACGTAAAGATCAGCAAGTCAATGTGGTGGAGGTAGGGCTTTGAGATGTCCATGCCACATGGTAGAAGAAATGTCTTTAAAGTTAGTTTATGGTTGCATAAAGTACAAGGGCCAAACAGAGAAGAGAATTGCCTTCTTCATCCAAGGGGGTCAGCAACCTGGACAAGCCTCAAGGATAGTGTACCTACAGAATGAAAATGCAGTTCAGCTCAGAGCAGATTCTAAGTAGTACAGAGGACAGCTCTAAGCACTGCTAACACATATTTATTATGGATAAAAGTTTGAGTATATTTGGTTAGCATCTATTCCAGCAATCAACAAAGGTAGGGCTATGAATTAAAATAAATAAACTCTGTAAAGGTACTTTAACAAAACTAAGCCACTCTTTTCTAGACCATAAGTCAGCCTGGTAGACTTACATCTGACTCATAGATGTTTTGTTTGGCTTACACAATTTCTTAGGAAACTTCACTTTGAAAAATCTACATCGTACGGCTGGCAGTGGGCCAAGGTATGAGGATTGCTTGAGGCCAGGAGTTCAAGACCAGCCTGGGTAATAGTGAGACTCCATTTCCACAAAAAATATAAAAATTAGCCCGGCATGGTAGTGCACACCTGTAATCTCAGCTACTCAGAAGGCTGAGGCAGGAAGATTGCTTAAGCCCATGAGTTTGAGGTTGCAATGAGCTATGATGATGCCACTGTACTCTAGCCTGGGTAACAGAGGCAGATCCTGTCTCAAAAACAAAAAAACAAACAAACAAAAACAAACCAACAATCCCCCCCAAAAAAACAACCACATATTTAGCAAGTAAGACCACTTCATTTCATTTCCATATGGAAATAATCAGCTAGAGCTGAGAAGCACAAATGTACCTTGTAGATAAGGCATGTATTCCCAGTTTTCTACAGCTCCCACTACTTCCTATTATCTTACATTTCAACCTGACCTTGACTTATTAAATTTTTTTACCTACTGTTATGGTTTGAATGTGTCCCTTCCAAAATTCAGGTGTTGAAATTTAATGGGCAATGCAATGGTATTAAGAAGTTAGGCCTTTAAGAGGTGATTATGCCATAAGGACTCCTCCTTGGTGAATGGGATTAATGCTCTTTTGAGGCTTTGTGCAGCCTTCAGCCTACTGTCTTCTGCCTTCTACCACATGAAGACATGGTGTTCCTCCCCTCAGGAAGATGCAGCCCTTACCAGACAACCAAACCTGTCTTGGTCTTGGACTTTCCAGCCTCCAGAACTGTGAGAAAATAAATTTCTGTTGTTTATAAACTACCCAGTCTCAGGTATTTTGTTACAGCAGCACAAAATGAACTAAGACACTTACTAAGATATTTGGCATTTAAGCTTGTAACCTCTGGTTTTCATCTTAAAGATCATAAATCTGAACTTTATATACTTTTTTTTTTTTTTTTTTTGAGACAGAGTCTCACTCTGTTGCCCTGGCTAGAGTGAGTGCCGTTAGCCTAGCTCACAGCAACCTCAAACTCCTGGGCTCAAGCAATCCTACTGCCTCAGCCTCC